GTGGACAAACTGTATGGTATCATGCTTTAAAGTCTACTCAATTATCGCCGAGGCATAGTCATCGTCAAGGCAAAGTCAAGTTGAAATGAAAAGAGAATTCCACAGCAAGGCAAGTCTCACACAAATACAATAAACCAAGAGGAGGACACAGCTATCATGAATCAAAAATGTATGAAGCATGTAGAAGTAAAAACGAGCGCAAAGCACGGAACAGTAAATCAACAACAAACAATGCTAGTTTTTGCCCACCCAACTGCTTTTTACAAACCATACTACACGCCAAGTAAAAAGAATTCAAATCAGACTAACTTGTCACCCCTAGTGGACATGCACTTGGTATGAACAGTGAGAAGTTCCATTCAGGTCTGATAACAGTAGTACAATCATGTAACATTTGATGTACAATTGCCACACCACATGCCTCATGTCACCTTGAATTCAAAGAGAATCGGACACTGTGACAAATCCATGCACTTAACCTCGGCCATCCTGCAAGGCATGGACCAGTACATCCCCACCAAAGTCTTCACCACTCGTTCCTCTGACCCTCACTGGTGGACTCCAGAGTGCACCATTGCTGAAGAGGCAAAGGAGAAGCAGTGGAAGAAGTGGAGGCAGAACCCGCACCGTGATGACCTCAAGACCTCCTTCATTGCTTCTGTCAACCGAGCTGTTCGCACACAGCAGAGCGCCCATATGTCTAGCGTCAATCGACTGCGCCACACACTCAGCTGCCAGTCACTTAGTGATAAACAGTGGTGGACAAACATGAAGAAAGCCACTGGCGCTACACGCAACTCCGCTGATGTTCCTTTGCTAGTCGATAGCCATGGCAAGGAGTTCCACACCTCAGCAGAGAAGGCTGAGTGCCTGGCACAGCATTTCTCCTCGAAGTGCAGCTTGGGTGACCGAGAACTGACTATCAATGACCTTTCTGCGGTGACCATCCCGACCCACGAGCCATTAGAGCACGTCCATTTCCGAGAAGCTTCAGTCCAGCGGCATCTTGCAAGGCTGGTCCCATCCAAGGCATCTGGATCTGACAGCATTCCATGTCGGGTATTGAAAGAGTGCTCTAAGGAACTTGCTGCTCCCATCACGAAACTGTTCCGTGTTAGCTTTCGTGCCGGTGTTGTACCGTCCCAATGGAAGCTCGCTCACGTTGTCCCGGTATACAAGAAGCCACCTCGATCTAGGCCATCCAATTACCGGCCTGTGTCCTTGCTCTCCGTTTTATCCAAGGTCATGGAGTGTATTATAAACCAACAAGTCACCAATTTCCTGGAGCGCAACGACCTGCTGCCTGACAGCCAGTTTGGTTTTAGACGTGGCCGTGGCACAACTGACCTCCTCACAGCACTCCAGAGCGAATGGGTGCAGGTTGTAGCTGAGGGAGGCTGTGTCCTAGTAGTAGCAATTAATATTGCCGGTGCGTTTGACCGCGTCTCTCACGTCGGCCTCCTCAACAAAGCAGAGCGAGTAGGCATCGGCGGACCTCTTCTCTCTTGGCTACGCGACTACCTGAGTAACCGCTGCCTAAAGGTGGTAACTGGAGGCCACGCTTCCAAGAAGTACCCGATCACTGCCGGAGTGCCCCAGGGCAGCGTCCTGGGCCCCACACTCTTCATATTGTTTGCTGCCGATATCGACCAATGCCTCTCGCATGGAGTAAAGCTCAGCTCTTTCGCCGATGACACTACCGTGTACAGTCCGATCAGACCAAACGACAACCTCCAGGAGAAGGCAGCATCCTTACAGACAACCCTCAGCAATCTTGCCGCATGGGGCCAGCAATGGCGGATCCAGTTCGAGCCCACCAAGAGCCAGCGCCTGATTTTGTGCAATGCTCGAAAGCGCCCTGACTTTCCACCAACCACTTTTGCTGGCGAGATTATTCCGGACTCGGACCACCTAAAGCTGCTTGCAGTTACATTCGACTCTAAGCTTGGTTTCCAGCGCCATATTCATGCTGTCGCTGTCAAGGCCAGCCAGCGCCTGGGATTCTTGCGCCGTGCCGCTTGGCTTCTGGGTCATGAGGGCCGCCTTGCCGTGTATAAGGGGTTCATTCGGCCCATCCTGGAGTACGCTCCCCTAGCCACCATGTGTGCAGCCCAATCCCACCTAGCACGCTATGACAGGGTGCAGGAGAAGGCAATGCGCATCATCGGACCTGGCACGATCCTTCAGAGCCTGCAGCTCAGGAGGGCAGTCTCAGGGCTTGCATATGTGTACAAGTTGCACTACATTAAGGGTCCACCCCAGCTGACAGCCCTCCTCCCGCCACCGTCGGCGCATGCACCTACTCCAAGAACCCGCCGACAACTAGCTTCTCGCCACCCTTTCCAGTTGCAATGGCCACTTGCTCGGACAGCACCGAACTACCTACTGAGGTCATTCCCCCACACCCTCATTGCGGCATGGAACGACATTCCCGAGCAAGCCATCCCGGAACCTCCGGCATCGAAGGGAATGCAGGCCTTCAAGTCTCGCATTTGTCAGCACCTGATGCGCCAAGATTGGTTGTGGGCGACAGCATTCCATGGCTAAATTTGACGATGTTCCATTCTCCAGTCCCACAACGATCACCTTGTCTTCACCCCACTGAACTGTACCTTGCTCCCTAGACCTCTCGAATCACCTCAGTGCAGAATGTTTTGCGTTAATGTTTATTTCTTCTCTTCTTTCCTTTTTACTGCTTTTCGTGGCCCCTTTCTCGCTGATCCAGTGCCTGCACACTACTCTGCGTGGCAGCAGCTCCGATCTAACTTCTCCGTATTGCCCCCCCCCCCCCACTGAAAGCAACGCAGCTGTTGGTCCATTGCCATAGTTTCCTGAACCGATCTGGCACTCACTCACTCACCCTCACTCACCCGCCCCCCCCCCCCCCCCCTCTCTTCCTTTCTCTCTCTCTCTCTCTCTCTCTCTCTCTCTCTCTCTCTCTCTCTCCATCATTGTCTGGCTCTCAGGTTCTCACTCTTCACACACAGTCTTTCTTCTCTCCCTTTCCCCCATGGTGCGTGATGTGCGCCTTGATCCCGAGACCATTGGTCGGGGGAGCGCACTTCACCTCACCGGCACAGCTCAATAGCACCTACACGCCCATTGTAGTCCCCTATGTTCTCTTGATGTTGTTGTTGTTTTTCTCTTCCATTCTATATGTAGGCATGTGCACTTTCATAAAAAAAAAATAAAAAAAAATGTGAACCAACCCTAATAGGCGATTCACACCAGGGAGTAGTACAATACCGGTATTGTACTACTCCCTGATTCACACGACAGGCAAATCCACGTTTGTCAGGTGCCCGCCGGAAGTGAAACGTGAGGCTGCAGTTCACACGGCCGCGGGTACTGGGCCGGGTGGCGGCCAGAGCTCCCGGCCCGCGAGTATCCGGTGAGTATACGGCGTTACTGTGGTGATTTGGAATGAGTACCCAAAGACAAAGGCCAAACAACCAGGGTTCAAGACTACCGTACGATAGTACGACCTCACAGCCTCATAACTGTAAAAAGTGCCCGCAGATGAGTGCATCCGCGGGCAAAAAGGCCATGGACACTTTTGATTATAGCAATAAAAACTGCTTTATGGCAGTTTTCTAAAAAAAGTTATTGTGTTCTAGTCCATGGACCCCGTCTAAAAAGTAAGAAATTAACGAAATGTGATAGCCGAAAATTAAAATTTCACACAAAACCTCACAATAATCACAACACTTGAAATGCTGCTTTCAACACTAAACTAACTTGTACTGCACCAACAATTGGCAACATGCATGCATAGGAAAGAGGATCACGAGGAGAAAAGGTCTTCTACGGTACATGTAGCTTTTCATTCTGTGTGTGATTATTGTGAGGTTTTGTGTGAAATTTTAATTTTCGGCTATCACATTTCGTTAATTTCTTACTTTTTAGACGGGGTCCATGGACTAGAACACAATAACTTTTTTTAGAAAACTGCCATAAAGCAGTTTTTATTAGTGCTGAAACGAGTACTCTATAAGCTATCGAGCGAGTACTGTCACTATCGAGTCGAGTATCGAGTACTCTATAAGCACACATGCGCATATATGTCAGTACCACATACCCATTTTTTGCACACCATTTACGCAATTCAATATCCTTCAATAAACACAAATTTTCATTGCAAAGCCACATGGACGACGGATGTGTACGTCGCGATCAAGTTTTTTATTTATTTATTTATCGAGTCCTTTTTTGATATCGAGTCGAGTACTCAACGAGCGGGTACTCGAGTACTCGGCGTACTCGTTTCAGCAAGAGTCCATAACCCAAGAGTATGCAACTGTGATCTCTTTTCTATGGGCCAACCGCGCGGCGCGCTGCCTTCATTACATCATTCAGCTGCAGTCCGCGCACTGCGGAAAATCAAACACCGCACTTTCCCTCTAGTTTGAAATGAACTTTCGTACGGAACTGGAGTTCACGCGCCATAACTCAGAGATTGTGTAGGTACTGGAACGAATCGGGCAAAAACGGATGGGCTCGTGCGAGAAATTGAGAGTTTGAATGCATGCTTTCAGAGCGTGATGAAGGCAAGTTACGTAATGAAGGCAGCGCGCCACGCATGCACCCATCATCACAGTTGCATACTCTTGGGTTATGGACTCTTGGTTTCAGCACTAGTTTTTATTGCTATAATTTCTTTCGTTTTTTTCTGTCACCAATTAATGGAATGCCCTATATCAATATGGAAATGATGGCCTTCACATCGATACCGTATTATACGCATGATGTGCAAGCCTTTTCTTGCAGAAAATGGCACTAGCATAATGCATGTTCTTCGGCGGGGAAACATGTGAGTCGTGGTCTGGTGGTGGTGATACTTTTTTTATACGGAGGTCAGTCTGTGCATGTTGCAACAGAATTTCATGACTGTAATAACATTTTCTTGCCTTTCAGATATTTCAGATTTCCCCACCCTCGATCAGATTTATTTGAGAAATGTAGCTAGGTGCATGTCGCAGATGTTTTTGTTGATTCTGTGTTCATAAGGGGCCGTCCAAGGTTACCAATAGTATTTTCAAAACTAAAAGTTTTCGTTTGGGGGCGAGTTTGAAGGAGTTTCGTTTTGAAAATAATTATTGAATGCAGATGGAGAATGCCCAGTTACTTTTGGGTGTCGAAAATTGACATCAATATTTTATTGGGATTCGTTTTACCTGTAGAAAAGGTAGGTGGGTGGGTGCTGATAAATACTAAAACTTTTCGTTTTGCAAAAACTATCGGTAACCCCGGACGGCCCCTAATGGTTTATAATCATGGGTTATCGTGATAAGGTCATCCTGCATCATATTGCACTGAAATGGTAATCCTGTTGATGACGATACAACTTTTGGAAGTAGTTCAATGACTTCAAACTGTTAGTCCACGATTTTCTAAAACAAAACAGCAAAGGAGGAACAATAAACATGTATTATAATGTAAACGAATACATTGCCGAGTCCAAAACCTCGTTCCAACAACTACACTGATCCTGAGGAGAAAAGGGGCAAGGCTATGGTTGGAGGTACTGAGAGATAAACAAGGCACTCCACAATAATAAAATCTTACACATCTTTTGGTGAGTATGAATGATATCCAGTCGAACCTCTTTAGGACGAACACCAAGGGACCGATGGTATTTATTCTGTGAGCTTAACCTATTTTATAACCAGAGAATACAATTATATCTCCAATAGACATACGAATAGATTTCTTCTACAGCGAAAGATTCTAAGCCACACCGACTCATTGACTGGTCTTGTATGAAACAATTGAGTCACTAGAGAGATTCTGCAAAACGAAAATGCGTACAAACTTTCGCTCTACATCATGAAGTGCGAAACTTCGCACCTTTGTACGCGAAACTTGCAGGGAACGCGAAATGAACTGTCGTAGGAAATTTCGTGAGATCAGGTCATGGCGTACGTGCACTTGTCCCGCGCACACTACGAAAATGTGCAGAACGCAAACTTCGTGCAAAAATTCGCACACTTTCGCAAGGACTGTCGCGAAACTTCGTTCGAATTTTCGTTTTCCAGAATTTCTCTACTGAACCTTTCTTTAGCAACATGACGGCAACTGAAACAGCAACAGAGAAAGTACGATACATGTACTCCACATTCTTACAGGTACTACAAACAGATTGAAGATCGTAATTCTTGCTTTGGCGGCACGAAACTTTATTTGGGGTAGTGCAATCTCGCCGGTACTCACAAATCAAACAGACCAGACTTGAGTAAACAAATCCAATCATACAAGTACGAGATTTTAACGAGACGAGACTGCACCCATTGGCTTGTTTCGTATGAAACAAACAAGTTACTGAACCTCTCCACAATAGAGATTTCCCCTGATATGCGAATTAATTTTGCAAACTCGGTCAATTGGTACTTGAACCTTTCCCTCCAGATTGGGAACTGCCAACGATAGTATGCCACTGACCAGTGCCTTACTTGTAACGTACCAATGTACAATGAATAATATATGAGTATTTCGACAACACATCTAACATAAGCCTTACCGTCAAGAAGTTGAACTCGCGTTCTTCGCACACTGTAGACAAGGGCAAAGAGATAAAAATGGATCTAAATCCGAATAAAATAAGCACACGTTTCCGTAAATGAAAGGTGAACATAAGCAAATGAATCGAAGGAAACTTAGAGATCACCTGTCCTCGAGTATTCCGTAAAAGGAGGCCTCGCAGCTCGGCAGCAGAAAAGCAAAATTTAGAAAAGAGATCCTGTCAACTTTTCCATTATTTATTGCATTCCGCCCCAAAAGCAGCACACTTTTCCTGAATGAAAGAGTCAACACAAGCAAATGAATCAAAGGCAACTGGTCAACTCACCTGTCATTGAGTAATTTTCCGCGAAAGGAGGTCTCAGCAGCGCCGAAACGAAATAAGCCAGGCCATGAGACGAAATATCCGAAACAGCTCATGCAAGAAGCAGTTCCAAAGAAGGAAGCAATTAGTTCCTCGCGCATGCACATCCGAACACGGATCCGCGGACTGCATGCATGCACTGAACACAATGTCTGCCGTGCACGTGCACAGCACATGCACACGGCTACCACGCGTTGGTACATGGTAGATCTAATACCGAGCGCCTTACGTAGAGACTTACGTAGCCTAAGCGAAATACCGAGCACCTTACGTAGAAACTTACGTAGCATAGCGATGTCGTTTTTTCTGCCATGTGAACACAATAATAGAAAAGCTGACAGGATCGCTTTTCTAAATTCCCGCGGGCAAATTTTGGTCACCCGCAGGAATATCTCCATGGTGCCTTTCCTGTAAACGTGGATTTGCCTGTCGTGTGAATCGAGGTTAAGATGCACGTTATTTCTGACGTGACGCGAAAGTTCAGTTCGCGTTATTTGCTCGCACGTCGAAAAATCAACGCGAGTGACATGCTGTTCACGTCGAAATTTGGAGTTTTACGCCAAATTTGACGTGAAATTGCGCGTCACGTCGGAAATAACGTGCATCTTAACCTCTCTAACGGAAGTATTTTCACTTCGACCATACACACCTTGCTCACGCTGCATACTGCTGAGAGTTCTGCGGTACTGGAGCTAGATTTCCAACTCCACAAGTTGAGAGCCACCCTATCGGTTTCTGGTTCTTAAGCGGGATTCACAGAAGCTTTTTTGCGATGCGACACGCGATGCGACGCGATCTGCGATGGATGCGTGCGATGCGAACTCGCGAAATACCATTCACAGAAGAAGTCAGCGATGCGACAAAGTTTTGCTGATTTGGGTACGTCACCATGATATTCGCGCGGTTTGACACAACTTGTAAAAATTTAAAGGCAACTCTTGCACCTTTGTACAACTTTGCTGTAGAAAAGGTCAAAATCGTACACCAAATCGCTTGTCGCATCGCATCGCATCGCAAAAGTTGAGCCAAGCTCAACTTCTGCGCGTGCGATGGCATGCGATGGCCCAGTTGCGTCAGTTGCGTGGGGTGCGACATGGCTGCGATTTGGGGTTTTCCCGGTTTCGCGGCAGTAGAAGGTAACAGGAGGGTTTGAGAACAAAGTTGACCCGGAAGTGACCTTGTCATGTTTTGACAGGCTGTGGTTTGACCTTGTCAATTTGTGGTTTGACCTTGATTACTTTACCGTGACATCCGTCAAATAGTGTTACAAGATCACGTGTAACACCCGTGTACTGCGATGTAGTTGTGTTACCATAACTTTTGTAGAAAGTGTGACTTTAACTTTGAAAAGTGTGACGGTAACTTTGAAAAGTGTTTGTTGTGCTGTTACAATAATTTTTTGAAACTGTATCAATGAAATGTCTTTTATTTTTATTACAAACTCTGTTTTATCATTATTTGTTAAACTGTGTGCGTGCAACAAACTCTGTTTTCCCTCTGGAGTGTCACGGCGAGCACCACCACCAAACCTGATACTCCACGAGCAAAGCAATGCATCACCGTTGTAAACATGCTCGACTCTGCATGAAGCAGCAGCAGGTTAGTGTAACAAACTCTGCTTTCCCTCTGGAGTATCACGGTGAGCACCACCACCACCACCACCACCACCACCAAACCTGATACTCCACGAGCAAAGCAATGCATCACCGTTGTAAGCCTGCTCGACTCTGCATGAAGCAACAGGTTAGCCGGCAATGACAAATTGAAGAGAGGTACCACTGCGAAGAAGACGATCACTTGCGCGCTACTCGAAGAGAGGTACATGTACTCAGGATGTAGCCCTGTGAAGAAGACGATCACCTGCGATACATCTGAAATGAATGAATGATGCGATGCATCAGCTAGCCGTCTAGCGTCGTGTTTGAGTAAAGGTGAAGTGATGTGCGCTCAAGTGCATGGATCTACGCTAACTATTCACGGTCTGCGAGTACTTGTCATGCACAAACTTGTCGGACAGGTAGAACAATGCTGAAGACAAGGTGTCAAGTCTGTCCGTGTAGTTACTTTTAAAAGTGCTTGACTGTGTTGTGCATGTACATGTAAGGGCTTAGAGGTTTTCGGTGGAAGCATGCAGAATTGAAAGAGCGTTTGCACTAGTTTGAGAACAAATGTGCACGGTGGTAAATGTCTCAAGCTGTTTGTGGACAATTGCCTCACCTCGTGATGGAGAAAATGCAAGCACATGCATACTGAGACCACGAGCGCTCACCTCGTGATGAAGAAAATGCCTCCGCCTGCACCGCCTCCGAACGAGGAAAAGTGTTGGCACAACCATCAGGTTGTGAGTGAAGGACAGTACGTGTGTACGACTTGTGGACTGGTGCTGGGTAACGTCTTAATGGCCGAAGTGAACTTCTTCGATCGTTGTGTACTCCCGAGATCGTACGCCGCTCGTGAACGTCTGAGTGCTGTGGACAAGCATCTGATTAGATTCATGGAGCGCACGGGAGTGCAGGTGCAGCTTCACGGTGTTCAAGAGCGGCTGCAGTTCATGAAGAAGGACAGCGGCTATAAAAGTCTGAACTATGCCATCGCTCTGAGCTGCATCTGTCATGAGGATAAAGCAGCCTGTTATGCACTGAGATCTTATCTATCGAAAAGCAACGTGTCATGGGCACGGTCCAGTCGACTCGTCAGCTGCATGCCTAGACAGTTTTCTGATATTTGGCTCCGGCATCTCTTGATCAATGCCAAGCCCTTGACACGCCGTCAGTCATCCAGATTGAATGAAAACCTTGACAAGTTCAGTAGGGAGCAGAACGACGCAATGAGACTCCTGATCGAGTCTTACGGCTGTGGCAGTGATAGGCATGTTGACTCGCTACCGGACGATCTACGATGTGCTCTTTATAGATTTTCATGCGCCTGGTGCTGTTCCATCCACGTCTCCTTGATCACATCGAGATATTATAAGATCACGATGATCGTTTGTCCGGTACTCATTTGTTCTTTTACAGTTTAGTGAACAACCTTTACTTTCTGTCCGCCTCACCATGAACGCTATGGATATCGGTATTTGGATGCTGCTGAGCAAGCACGATGAGAGTAGTTGCGTGCTCCGATCGCTGCTACATTGTGTGGCTCTGAAAGGCCTGTGTCCCGTCGAAGACCTCCAGACGGTGGCGAAAGATGAGCGTCTGGAGGTGATCTGGAGACTGGCTCGTAACCTTGCCAGGGATCGCAGGGTCGACTTGATTGCCGCGACGCAAGTGCTGCTTTCTGAGCAAGTGTTGGCGGATGGAGGCGCACTGCTGCCGCACTACCTGGAGCGGATATTCGCAATCATGAGCGAACGTTGGATTGACGATGCAAGGCTGGGACTTCTCATCACCCCCCTCGCTCATCTGATCGTGATATGTGAGCAGGCCGTAATCACGATGCAACCTGCCATTGCCAGCAAGATCATCGCGTGCTACGAGCACGAGCTACACCGAGTACCCGTGAGACAGTGCCGGCAACACAGCGGATCAGGGAACATTTTACTTTGTGCTATGCAATTTGTATTTTTGTATCACTGATTTATTTACATTGTAATTGATGATCAATATCGTCATGAGCATCATCATCATCATCATCATCATCAGAAACATAATCAATGTTCTTGATAAATGAAACGATATTAATTGTAAATGCGAAAGTTTTTGTATACTCCTGTGATGGTATCATCCATTATGAGCACGGCTTGGTGATGATAAATGGGGCGAGTCCTGAACGCAAGCGTGCACTTGTTCTTGCGAGGTATCTCCTTGTGTGAGATCCAGTAGCGCTGTTCGTTCGCTCCAAGCTCTTCTGCGTTTGCGGGGTATCCCACCAGCATGTACAGTCCAACGGGTATGATAGTAGCTCCATCCAGTGATTTTTCAAAGGGAAACTCCACAAGTACCAGCGATGTGTTGGCATGATTTTCCTGTAGGGTATCCTCCACGATACGCACCGTAGGAGCTGCACTCCTCTCACCAGGCGGTCCACGTTGTCCAGCTTCTCCAACAGGCCCTTGCAGACCTTGCTCTCCTCGTACTCCTTGCAGACCTTGTGGACCCGGGGACCCTTTCAGTGACGCAGTAACAACCCACTCGGTATCGTTTAGCTTTTCGTAGACGAGTCCACTGTCAGAGTTGTGGAAAAAGTCACCCACCCTGCCATCATGCGTGTTCATTACTCATCACCTTCTTTCGTTGCCCTCTAGCCTGAACTGGCATGTTCTTGAGGCAGCTATCCTTTAGCCTCGTCTTCGATCGTGATGTATAAAAGCATCCTGTCATAGCAAACCGCTCATCAGTTATTGCCGAAGAAAATGAAGCGGAGACTTGAGAACGTAGAGGAAGGGGGGCCCTCTCCGAGAGCACCCAGAGAGTCGCGAATGAATCTCCAGCGCAGCGCACCGCGTGGATACTAGAAAGAGTATCGCGCCGAGCTGAATGAAGACGACATGGATGTGTTGAGCGTGCTCAACGACCTGATTCCGGATATCACGGAAACAATGGTGCACGAGCTGCAGACGCAACAGTACAAAGCCGTGCTGGTGGCCTGCGTACAGATGGAGAAGGTCGACGCGACCGGTTGATCCACCGTCACCTCTCCATTTTTCCGGAGTAAAGCGCAGACTGTGCATCAAGCCTTGGAAGTGGAGGACGTACTGAAGTCGTCCATCGACCACATTATTCAGAAGCTGGAAGCCTGGATTAGTGAAGGATCCGGTTGGGTCGTAATCCAAGTGAAGAGCGTCCACTTGGACATTGCTCGCTACCGACCGATGCGCATCTCATCCTATCTGCCCCTACCAAAAACTATAGCCGCATCGAGAGCAGTCGTCAAAGTGAGGAACCGTGACGATCAATGTCTGAAGTGGGCTGTTCTATGAGCACTACACCCGGCAGCCGATCACGTTGATCGAGTGACCAACTATATGCCGTATGCTAACATTCTCGATGTCACGGAAGTAGATTTTCCGGCTTCTCTCGTCGACGTTTACAAGGTAAGGTTCACTTGATCGAGTCCTTGTCACATGTCGTTGTTTTGTGAAGTGGCTGTCTTGAAGTCA